CCCCAAAACCCCAAAACCCCAAAACCCCAAAACCCCACCGGCCAAGAAAACATTGAAAAGAAGAAAAACTGATGAAGATGCTGAAGAAAAAATTCCTACAAATACTCCAAAGAAGAAATCTCAAAGCCCCAACAAAGAAACTGGGGAAGGAAAGCCAAAGAGAAAGAGACGGCTTAAGGCAAAACTGGAAATGGATAGATTCGCTATAAATCAAGCAGATGGAGGAATAGATGAAGACCTATTCAAACAAATGTTTAACTCACTTATCCAAGACAAAAATGGTAACCCTCAACAGAAGTTTGAAGGGTTGACTCCAGAAAACTGTCACGAGGATTTAAAGGAGTTGATTTGGTGCATTTTCCAAAAATATTCTGGAGAGGCTGATAATACCAAAAATGGAATCTTTGGGATCCTAATTTCATGTGCCTTGCTCTTGATCAGAGAAAATGATTCCCCTGCAAGAATTTCAGAGTTATTAAAAGGAGACAATGATTTAGCAGTGAAATCCAAAAAGAAGTACTTCATTCATTTGAAATCATTCATTAAAGACTGTAGCCTCCAAGGTAAATTATCCAATATTTTGTTGGGAGAAAACCCATTTACAGAGAAAAGTGAGTTGGTCCCAGATATGGATGGAATTTTCTATGATTCTGTCAAATTATACCAATTTCATAAAGCCTTTGATAAAATGTGAATAGAAAACAGTGAGGAGTCAGACAAAATATACTTCATATTTTTAATGATATGATACACAATAATGCCTATGAGTTCAATAGTTAGGTTAAAAAGGTCTGATTTTTTCATTACAGATAGTGACAAAAAGCTCCTTGTTATTGAGTATGAGGATTCATTGAACAGAAATAAGAGAAAATCCGTGATTTGCAACCGAATTATCAAAAACCAAATTTGAAAAATAATCACTAAAAAAGAGACTTACCTAATTTTGCCTGAGGAGCAGCTAGAGACTGAAGAAAGTACCTTTACTACCAAGTCAAAAAAGCTTATAAATAAGCTTTCAAATAAGCTTAACCAGAGATTTCAGACCTTCACAAAGCATCTGATTAATCCAGAAGGCTGCCAAGGTATAACCCCAAAAACATACAGAGAAATTTCCAAGTACTTATTCAATGTGGGCAACACTACTCCTCAAGAATTGGAAAAGATTACAAACTGCACTTTAAAAAAAACTCAGCTCAGCTCTTGGTATCAAAATAAACATCCCGAAAACAGTAAACTTAAACGAACTTATTATTTCAGAAGAACTTCAAGAAGTGCCCTATGAACAACCTTTGTAGCACCAAGAATAAGGTTTAAAATGATCAAATAGAGCCTTAAACATTAGGATAATTTGAAAACTTTGAATAATTTGAGCTCTTACTTTCTATTTAATTTTAAACACCTGGTTCTTAAAAATGTTGCTGAATTTCTAAATTCCATTTATCGGCTTTATATGGATAAATTTAAAAATTAGGTTTCTAAAATCTGCCTTTACATCTACTTCTACTGAATAATTTAAATCTGGATCTCTTAAAAGGAAGAATTAAGACTTTACAGTTTTTTAACCATGTGCTTTTACGTATCATGAAACCATGAATTTACAGACGAGAACTCTTGAAATTATCAATAATATAGGATTTTAAGTATCTAAACCATCTTCTTATAAGTGCTGTTTCAGTCCAGACTCTTTGGCAAGATGATTGTCAAATTATAAGCTTACAGTTTATATTTAAGATTAGATTGAATACTCATATGCTTTTCATGCCAAGTCTTTTTAAATTACTAGCTTACAGCTATTGAATTCTATGTTAGTTCTACCTGCAAAATTAGAAATAGCCCTGTTCTCAAGAAGCACTTTAAGTATATAACTCTCTTTGAAATTTCTGAGAGTAGTTTATTTTTATATAAAGAATTCTTAAGTACCAAGATATCTGGCCAAACCCCAAAATTTGAGCTCATAAATCTTGAATTTTCATTGAATTTGATGCTTAAGAGTTTCTGATCAAACAATTGGCTGAAAGTCAGAATTAGAAGTTTTAAATATTTTGAGGCTTTATACACTTTTAGAATCGACAGTTCAGTTTAAAATTATAGGAAATCGAGCAGATTTCAAAGTTAGTCTAGTTATTCAGAAAGAATCTTCTCTAATATATTATAAGTAGAATTTTTGCTTCATTACTTCATATGTTTGATGTGGAATTCTGCTTCCAGTAAATAAGCTGAGTCTGAGACAAGTATAGCTGGCAATTGTAACATTATGCAGCAATAGATTCATAAATGCTAAGAATATTTATTTCAGACATATTTACAAAGATGTTGAATTTAACATATTTCGAAAACAGTGGAATAAAGTTTGACATCTCTATGTTATTTTCAATATTTATACCATGACTAATTTATTGTGTTCAGAGGTGTTGAGTTCAAAAATCCTTTCTGTTCGAGTCCCAAATAATTAGAATATGGGTAATATACAGATCCGATTGAGCTATCAATGAACTCTTTTCTAGCAATAAAGCCTTGAACTTTACAAGAATGACTTTCAATTATAAGAATCTGATATCAATGGATTTTTTGAACGATGACACAGAAGAAGGAAGTGAAGGACTAGGTCATGAAATCAGAAATATGCTAGATTTTGATACTATTGAGTACGAAAACCCCACGAAAGACCATGATAACCCCCTCAATTCAAACTCCCAATTAGAATCTTCCAACCAACTTGAACTCCCAACTCATGATGCCGAAATTGAGAGTGAAGAAATTCCACTAGGAATAAACCCCATTTTCAATAGAGAAGAAGACAAATTTGATGGAATTTCTGATTCGTTATAGAATAATGAAACAATAAATTATTGCAAAGAACATCACCAGAAGATAGCTTATCAAAATAGGACAACTAAGAAATATCTCTGACAATCTTGCGCTAGCACTTGAGAGAGCAAGGAAGACATTGAGTCTCTGCAGCCAAAGATACAAAAACAGATTTCTGATTTCAGTCAAAATCTTGACAAGACTTTGAAAAATCTGAAGTCTTTAAACACAATAGACGTAGCTATTTGGAAAGGAAACATTCTTGAAAACTTAGAAGGTTATTTCAAAACTATTGATAGGAATATGGGTCTCCTAAAGAAACAGGCTATCCAAGAAGTTCAAGAGATGTTTAATCATGAAACCATTTTGAAAATGATTAAGAAGAAGAAGTTCATTGATGACTTATGAAATGAGATATCTGCTCATTTCAGAAGATACCAGCATGATTTTCATAAACTCAAACATGCAACTTATGTACAAAGGGAACAACAAATTGATTTACTTCAGAAAAGCATCGAATTTTGACAAATTGAAGTACATCAATACCAGTCAATAATAGGGAAAAAGGAGCACCAGCTCTCTGCTCTGATAGCACAAGTAAAAGCAATGACTCTCAAGATAGAAGATGCCTAATTGCCACCGTTTTCAAGAAGATTCAAGGAATCGAAAGAACAAACTTCGATTTTTTATTCCAGACGATGGAGATTGAAAATCAGCACACGAAAAAAAATCAATCTAACACCATTCTATTGCTTCCATAAAGAGTTCATTAAAGGAAAAATTTGAAACCCTATTGAAGGAGTATTTATTGCATTCAAAATTTGGAATAGATCCCCTCAGGATAAAAGAAATATTTTTGTAGATATCGCAACAAAGAGAAATGCAAATTGCCAGGATCAGAAAACTCCTCAACCTCAAAGAGAAACTTCTCAGAAAGAAAGAGATGGAGTTGATGGCTGACAAAACATATCAAGAAAAATGACTTCTCCTCAAAACCTCGGACTGATAAATAGAAGAGATCGAACTGACAATCCTTTGGGTGAACAGCAAGATTCAAAGAGAATGAGCAATTTGAAATTGAATGAAAATATAATTCCAATGAAAAAATCTGACCCCGTTCCAGATATCAACAGAACAAATCCTCGAAGAATAGTGAATAAAATGCCTCCTCCATTGTTTCCTATTCCATCTATTCATCCGCTCAATCTACAGATGCATAAGGCTCCAGAAAAGACAGACAGCAGAAGGAAGAAGTCTCAATTTGATCTTCTAAAAGGGGCACCAGGAAACCTAGAGATTATTGAAAAGAGAATACTTCAAAAAGAACTAGAAAAAGCTTGATCCTTCAATCTCGAGTCAACTCAAAAGCCTCCAAGAGATAAACCTCAAAAAGAGAGAAGAAAATATCAGATTAAGAAGAAGATCGAGGAAGAGAGGGCTAATAAATACCAGAAATCTCAACTTTCAAGGATTCACAGGATCATGAAGACTATCAATACACTTGCCCTTGTGAAGAACCTAAACTTAAAACTTTATAGCTTCATTTGTATTAGAGTTAAAGGCTCTAGCCCTCTTTAGGAATAGGGTTCCTTTACAATTCCTAAGTGTCTTGAATTTTATTACAGCTCTTTATTATTGATAGATGTCCTAGCCAGAAGATATCACAAATTGGCTCATGTTAAATATGGAATAGCTTATTAAATCATTGGCCTAAAACTCGATGATTCTCGCAGCTGCCATCTGAAGCAAGCGGCGGATGCATAATGCTGTGTTGAAGGAAATTACCTATTGTTGCGTTCCAATGGATAATCTGTCTGCTAATAGTTGCTATATTTTATTGTTCAATATGTTGAATAGCTTTTGGGGTTTTGGGGTTTTGGGGTTTTGGGG